GTCAACCCACCACACTAAATTAAAAAAACCCAATCTTTAACTTGAAGTTCAAATCTATTAAACTTGTTTGTTAGCCCAGATCTTAACAGAAAGGACTTTAGTCTGGTTTTGTATTTGTATTTACTTTGGTATCATGAAGAAAGAAGAAAAAAAAGAGCTAACTCTGAAAAAATATAGCTCAGGAAGTTACAAACAACACACCTCCATTCTAAGTTTACATGCTTAATTTAACTGAAACATGTTGTATTTTTTGACAGATCCGAAAAAGAAAAACCTTCTACAATTCATAACAAAGCCTGTCTACACAGCAGTGACTTTGGCCACTAGATAACTGCTGGATTGCCAACAGAACTATAGGTAGCTGACAGAAAAAACAACATGATAAACAACTAAGCAGTAGTTAATCATTTCCTAGACATTTTACAGGACACCTTCCACAACAACCCTCTGCTCTCACCTGGTTAATTCACAGTTGCTACAAGTAACTTCTGCCTAACTTTTTTCCATACCTTGCTTTTATACATAAAATAGAATAAACTTTTACTTTTAGAATTTACATCCTGATGTTGAATAACATCTGTTCTATAATACACCAAGCAAACTGAAAAACAGGAACTCAAATATTGTCAGAAGAATCAGCAATAACATTGCTATCATGTACATTTTCTAAAATACCTAGTCTATCAGATATACTGGCCTTTTGAAATTAGAGAAACATTTGATTCTTTTTTGTTCAGGGTTTTTTTTTGTTGATTGTTGGGTTTTGGTTGTGTTTTGTTGGTTTTTTTTAAGTTTCATCTTCATTTCTTTTACCATACCTCACAATCTTCTTCAGACTTTTGCTGAACATTGCACCATCTAGCTACAGGCTCAGGAACAACTTCCCATTCCTCATCAGCTTGTTTGAGAATATTCACAAATGTTGATTTCCCTGCAGCTGTAGAAAAAGCATTCAGGAAGAACGGCAGTCAAAACACACTGATAGTGTCATTACTTAACTACTATACAACTCTATTTTGAAGTCCCATAAATTAGTCTCCCACACACATGTACTTGTGACTTCATGACAAGCATAAATTAGAGATGTATCATGTACCACATATCAATTAATTGACTAATTTTGTACCACACAGCACCAATAGCCAATTCAACAAAAATCACAAGTCTCAGCCCAGATGAGACATCTAAGTTCTAGAAAGTTACATCTGCAATTAGAACACTAAATTTTTATTTTTTAAAGATACTTAGTGGTCCACTCTTAGGCATGAAGTTGCAGTCTTCCTAAGCTATTTTAGGAACAACAACAAAAAAGCAAGCAACTCTGAAAAATAGGAAGGAAGAGTGCTGGTTTCTCAAATGAAGATACGAAGTACTTCCTACAGTAATCATTAATCTGAAAATTGAAAAACGTTCAAGAAATTTTAAAAAGAATATCTAAACCTAAGAAAAGCCAGTCAGTTGGCTATCAACCACCAAAGTATGTATCAGTAAACAAACTGACACCCTGGCAACTCTCATCTTCGATTTTTTGCCTCTTGAAAAAAAAAAAAAAAAAAGTATCTCATTACGAACAGCCTACAACTTCTGCTCTTTATAACAGTTAAACAGGCTTCTCTTGTTAATTAGCAGAAGTATTAAACATTACAAGTTTGACCTGACAGTCTGCATTTACACAGGTGTTTTACATTACAATCAGGAAAGGTGTGGGAGAAATCCAGGACTTCAACGCATCTTTGAAAAGGTTAATAAATTAGAAAATGGAACATAAAGTTACACACACAGCCTCCCACATCTCGTCATTTTTATAACTTTAATTCCTACGGTGGAAGCATAAAGTTTTGGAAGTAATTAATTGGGTGCCTCTAACCCCCGCCGACGCCCCCAAGCTCCGCTAGAGGCCAGGCCGCCCCTCCTGCCGCCCTCAGCCTCCCCCCGGCCCAGCCCCGGTGAGGCGACCGGCAGCGACTCACCGATGTTGCCCTCGACCGCGATCTTTTTGATCCTGCCCTCCTGCCGCCCGCGCTTGGGCGGAGTGGCCATGGCGGCCAAGAGGCCGGAGGAGCGGGGAGGCCGCCGCTGCCCGCGCAATGGAGATAACGGCGATAACGGCCGCCGCGCCCAGCCCGCACCCGCCTTCGAATTTGGCGCGCGGCGGGCGTGACCGCGCGAGCCCTGACGTCACGGCTCCTGACGTCACGGTACGGGTGGCGGTGAGGGCTGAAAGGGAAGGCCCGGCCGCGGGAGGGCAGGCGGCAGGGCGGCCGGTCGAGCTCGGCGCTGCGGATTCAGGCAGAGCTGCGGCAGGAGAGCGCATCGATGGGCCGGCGCCACCCCTGCCACGAGTTGCTCGGGTCTCGGCCCGGCGCCTAGCCCCGGGCGAGGGGAGGGAGGCAGCGAGCTGGCCTTCCCTGCCTCCCGGGCAGCGCTCCCCCACGGCCACAGGCAGAGTTTCCTTGTACACGGAAACCCAGGGCTACGTGCCTGCCCTCAGAGCAGGCCAAAGGCCACATCGACGAGAACAAAAGGCCCTCACAAGCAACCCTTTCCCTCAAAAACCCTTCCAGAAATATCTTACAGGTGACATGCAGGTTGGTACCACTGATTTAGCAGTTTATTGCTGAAAACCCCAAAACCTCCTGCCAGTCACCAAACCCATATTTGACAACGTGTTTCGCAGAGTACCATCACAGTATACAAACGTTTTGGTTCTTGAGTGACCAAGTTCAAGTGGGAAAAAAAAATCCCCAGACCTACACAACGGGCACAGGCAGCAAGGCAGTCATAGCCAGCACAGGCTCTCATGCAAAACCACATACGATGGCTGCAAGCTGTGAATGCACTTTGAGACAAGCTCCCCTTTGCATGACCTCTCAACCATGAGATTTGTGGGGACTAAATTAACAGCAAGATTTTAAATAGCTTTTTCAACTTGATGGCACAAACAGCTTCCCTGCTGCACGTAAGAGGTGACTTACCACAGGACTGGGTGCTTTGGAGTTACAGGGGTGAGTGGAGAAGGCAGATGGATGCAGACGAGAGGGTAGGAAACCTGGAATTTTGTGGCTGTCAGAGTCACAGGAAGCTTTTATAAGGAAAAAAAGGAGGATAAAAAAAAAAAAGGCACCCTATACTGCTGAGCTCAGCCAAAAGCAGAGTCTGTATTTCATGTGAAGCTGGTAGCCTGAGAGCATGGAGTGCTACAGCTGCAGCAGGACACCCTCCTGGTGGGCAAAGCTTTCAAAGTTGCCCTGGGATTGGCACCAAGATGCAATTAATGCAATATTAAACTTATGAGAAATCTCCCACCAAGCTCCACCCATAGTAGGTAAATTCAGGTCATGAAACAAGGAAATTAAAAGGGTATCAGGTTGTTTTATTGCTATTGTGTCTGCCTGCAATACAAATATTCACAAATTCAGACAAGGCAATTACAAAAATCTAATTTGTATGTGTAATGTTTGTATGTGTACAATATACAAAAAAAAAATCTACAAGTAGAAGATAATTTAGAAACAAATTCAAGAAGGAAATAAAGACAATCATGGTCAAACATAGCTATTTATTTTCTCTTATAAACAGCCTTCAGTTTCTTATTGAAAAAAACCTAAATTTAAATATTTTGTCCCATCACATACAACAGACTGTATACATTATTTACAACTCTCAAACAATGTTGCAGATTATCAGACATTCAACTTTTTTTTTTAATTAAAAGCTGTTCTCATTTAAAACTATCAGTGACTACAAACTGAAGCGATATTGGCACAGTTAGCTTACAGTAAGGGTTCTCATCTTGCATTTTCTATTTTACACTGCATTTTCTCCCATATATTTTAGCATTCTAAAGGCGGAAGAAAGGTTAGTGTTGCTTTCATAATATATTTTTTTTCCTTCAAAAATAGCCTTTTATTGAAACCTCCTTCACTTTTATTGCATTCTTCTCTCTTCCATCGCACATCAAGGTATGTGCTTCTAGGTTCTAAGCAACACAACCACAGCACCCCAAAGTAGTAAAACAGCCATGAAAATAAGTGTACCCTCCGCGACATGTCTCTGAAAAATGTCAGAAGTTGCAAATGTACAAAAATAATGAGTATAGTTTAGTGGCTATAAAAATTAATTTCCCCTAAAAATACAATACTCTATGAACAATTTAGGTAATTGGTTCTTCAAACAAAAACATAATTTGTTATTTACCTAGACTGCAATCTTAACCTGGCAAGAAGAAATTGTAAGAAAAGCAGGAAAATAAAAAGGTTTTACATTTAAAATAATCAATGTTAGTCTCATCTCAAAAGAGAAGATATCCAGGAAAAGACAACAGGCATCCATAAAATTGCTAGTGGTTTTAGTAGTGCAGTTTGGAAAAAAGACAACTGATAGCAGAGGTGAGGGAAACAAGATTCGGTGTAACAGGAAATCTTTTAGTGAAAGAAAAGCAAGGAATCTGTGTTCGTGCTGCAGCTTTTTAAATAGTCCAACTAAAAGGGGGTGGTTTATATACAGTAATACAGCACTCCAGCAGGTAGGAAGTGGGGAGAGGGTAGAAAGGAAAAAAAACCCCACAACTATTCAAAAAGGATGTGTTTATAGTAAAACTGTGTCTGGTGATCCAAAGAGGGGAGCAGCGAGAAACGGAAAGGAACTATCTGAAAGGAAAGTAAAGTCCATAGCAGCAATAGGTATCCTTACCTGTTAAACGAGTGTCAGGGAGACTGGGAGAGTGTTCAGTTCCTAAATACTGAATAAGGACAGTGCTCCTCTATATCTTAAAGTAAAAGCAAAAGTTCAAAGCTCTACATTGCATAGTAAGCAGTAAAAGAAACTTGATACTTGCAGATGGGCCACCTGCCCCTTGAAACCTGTTTTCTCCATCTACCATTCAGCTACCTGCAACGGCAGAATGTGGCATTTTTCTTTTGCATGATTCGCCTGTATCCCTGACGTGAATTTGAACGACTTGAAAAATTACTTCTGCAAACATAATGTATCCACACCATCTAAACAGCATCAACACTGGCAACAGTGGCTGATCTTGATCAACATAAGAGTTTGCCCCATCCCGTCTCGAGGTAGATGACCTCCTGAAGTGACCACCCAATCACTGACATGGTCAAATACGCTGGTAGCTGAAGAACACCACAGACCTTAGAATTTAAAGACTCTTTTACACTGGAAGGCCTCAGGCAGCACTGGCAGCCCCGCCTGGTTCACACCCACCAGCACCTTCCACTCCCAATGACAAGGAAGTTGGAAGTTTTTGTCTCAAAGCACCTGTGAAGCTTAACAGAGTCCATCTCTAAGTAGGCCTAGAGCAGCACGGGGTTTGTTCAGGGTTCATTTCTCTGGGTTCTATTTGGGGGGCTGAGGGGGTGTCCTCCCCCTTCCCCCCAACAAACGCACTATTTTATAAACACATTCACTTGATCCAGATTCCGTTTGTACAACATGGCAACTTTGTTTAGCATATCCATGTGCCCTTACTTTAAGAGTGTAAACACACATCAATTTCTGGTCCCACATCTTTTTGAAGCAAAAAAACAATTAAAAGCTGCAAGTATAAACAGCATAGGGATAGTAAATCCCAAACACTGCATACATATCTTTAATGTTGTTATTTTCAAGTGTTGTATAATTAAACAATGTGTTCATACAGCTGTCAGGCAAATCATGATCTCCAAGCTTTTATTACATGCCTAGAAACTATTCTGTAAAGGTGTTTTCTACTGCCACATATTAAATACACAAAATACACTATCCTGCAAAACTAATTTTTTTTTTTTTTTAACATAATCATTCTAATTCTGATTGGCTGAACTGCAGCAGATGCCTCTGGATATCCAGAACTGGCTATTTAAATATAAAAACAACACCAACACCACTATTCCAGAGCAGAAGTATGCCAAGAATGAAAACTACTGCACTGGTATCACTCCAAGCAAATCCTCATTTCTAAATATTTTTCTTTTGTGTTTCTTGCTGGTACATGATACCAAACTGATGAGACAGCTTTAAATCTAATGGAGGATGTCTCCTATTTAGCAACTTGGAGCAGGCTCCTGCAATTCTCACTCTTACGGCTTGCTGTGATGTGCTAACACAAGCTCCAGCACTGGTTAAAAGGCTCCTCTCCAGTAAGCAATGAACATGCACATGCAGCCTCTTGAGCAACACTGACTCAACTCAGCAAAGCAGTTTTCATTGAAAAGTTTACAGGATTTTTAATATCAAACTGTATCTGCACCACTCTTCACGCCTCTGTAGCTGGAAATTTTCAGTCATTAAATACTCTTTAGATAGAAGCACACATAAAAGGTTCTATGTGTTAAGGTCATGTTCTTAAATGCAGCTTCCCGAGTGACTGGAGTCCAGTCAAAATCGTGCCATTCAAATCTGGGAGTTAAACTGCTTTTGCATAGTCAGGTGGACACTGACTGCTCCCGTAACTCTGAAAAGATGACTGTCTTCTGTGTGATTCATCCTGAACTAAGAGATCCCTCCAACCCTGCACCCAAAGCTAGCACTGCCATCCTACTGATCCCACACCAGGCTTACGTGGTCAAATCCACATCAGATGTCAGGTATGCTACTCAGTTAAAAACAGTCCTGTACCTGCAATGACATCGGGAATGATGCACACAGTCCATAGAAATACTGCATTCCCATCTACCTTGTCAAACATACCATACAGCACAAAAACAATAGTGCATACCAAAGCAATACTTTTTCTCCAACTGTTCAACAGGATTACTTTCTCAGTCCAACACATGGAATGTTCTGCCCCAGGGAGCTCCTTCTTTCTTATCAGCCCAGTATTCAACTCCAGATGGCAGCATTTAGGTGCTGCAGCACTGACTGACACTTCCACTGGCCAACAGAATTGCATGGGGAAATCCAATGTTTGCCAGATCAGATATGTCCTAGGAATAGAAGGACTGACAAAAGCATTGGGGTGAATGCGGCAGTCACAGGCAACTTGCCAATGGAAAGTGAATTGTGCTCATGCTTCTTGTTTTGTTTTGCCTCTCATCTTCTTAAGCCTTGTACATGTTTTCCCAACTCCCAACGCCCCTGAAGAGGTAACAGACATAGAATAACTCCCCTATTTTCCTCCCACACGTGTGTACGCACACAGGAGAGTCAAGATCCTTACTGACTGAGAAGGGACCTCTTACTCCACCTTTTTAAAAAGAGGAGTTTGTTAAAACATTTGACAGAAAGCTCTCTTCATTGTCAGTTTGACTCAGTGTGGAC